CAACCACAATTCTCTTCTTATGGGTGGCCATCATTTTCTTGATTTCAGCAACTGCTTTCCCTGGATTCAGATCCTCAGGGCAGGTGTGTGTGCAATCCATGATGATATAGCAGCAGTACGGCAAGAATGGGTCCTGTAGCTTGGCCAAAGACTCCTCCATGAAATCAGCCCTGGAGTCAACCATCTAGCATGAGGACTGCAGGCCCCGGGTACTTGTTGCAAATCCACCAGTAGCTGGGGTAGCTGGTGCTACAGCAGGCACAAAGGATGCACGAATAAAGCCCATCTAGTTTCTCTCTGTCTTCTATGAACTGCAGATACTGTTGCTGACTCATCCTTCTTCAAATAGGGCTCAAATCTAAGGAGATCCTTGAGCACATGCACGTGCAGCAGGAGATAGATTTTAGAAACTTTGTTAAGGTTGGTGTCAATCCTATGTATGCAGGCCAGAGTGCTACTTCTGTTAATGTTCATATGCATAAACCAGATACCTTCTCTGCATGGACTCCAGAAGGTCAGGGAGGAGCCATTTCATTCTTCATCTTGATGAAAGCATCCAACACTATAGGACCACATTTATTCAGATCAACTTCATAAGACTGCGTTACAAGGTTTATCTCCAGTCTTGTTTGGGTCCCATGGGTAAATGGCAAATTTCTTGACTTGAAGAGCTTTGGCTGCAGTTGTCTGGGCCCCTCAGCTGGCCACGTTGGCAGGCTCTGCCCAGGACCGTGGTCAGAACCATTGTTTCAAGGAGAACCCAACCAGGGTTGCCATCTTATCTACCGACATGGTACAATGTTTTTCAAACATATGGTGTTACCTTCTTATGGGGACCCTAGAGGAGGTTATGTATCGCAGAAAACCCATTACACTAAGGCCTTTATAGAAGAAACTGAAAAATGCATGTGATGCAGCAATCTCAATGACCAAAATTATCCAAGCAACAGTTCACCATACTACTAAAGGTCTGGAAGCTAATGGCCACTATTTTGAACACCTTTTGTAACTGTAGAGGCCAAAGGTAAGTTGTATTCATTTCATGGTATCTCAATAAATTTAGTATTAAAATATACAAGTTTTTCTTTTCCTGAAGCATATATACATTGTTTTGGCAGATTCTATACACCAATACCATATAGTTATGAAACTACAACTGCTCATTTCACCTATTCCCCTACTGGACTATCTTTCACTCACGTATATTTGACACCCAGAACAGTATCTAGCACATAACTGGACTGATAAATGCTTACTAAATGGATAAATACATTTAAGATAAAGAAGCTGAGTTAGGCATGGTAGTTATCTATGATGCATGAAATCCCAGCTACTCAGGAAGCTGAAGCGGGAGTTATCACAAATTCAAGGCCAGTGTGGGCAACTTAGTGAGATCTCTCAAAAAAAGTAGAAAGAGAAAGAGAAAGGGTGGGGGGAGGCAGGCAGGCAAACTGGAAGGACTGGTGAGATAGCTCAGTGGACTAAGTGCCTGCTTAGGCAAGCTCAGGGACTGGGGTTCAATCTCTGGCACCACATGCCATGCCGACCTCACCCTCAGATGCACTGAGCTGACCACCCAATGCGGGTATGGTGACATATACCTATAATCCTAGCACTGGGGAGGCTGAAAACAGGAGGATCACTATACAGTCTGAGCTGTATAGTGAGACCCTGTGCCAAATATATTTTTTAAAAAAGAGAGAGACCCAGAGCACAGGCCCCGCAAGTGAGTGAGACAACCGGGGCCCTCCAGATCCTGAACAGACCCAGAGTGCAGGCCCGGCGAGTGAGTGAGACGATCAGGGCCGCGGGATCCTGAATAGACCCAGAGCGCAGGCCCGGCAAGTGAGGCGACCGAGGGCCTGGCGGGATCCTGAACAGACCCAGAGCGCAGGCCCGGCGAGTGAGTGAGACGACCCAGGCCGCAGGATCCTGAACAGACCCAGAGTGCAGGCCTGGCGAGTGAATGAGATGACCTGGGGCCCGGGGATCGTCATTTGACCCAGGCTGCATGCAGGCCCAGCACGGAACCCTTCAGCAGAATTCCCTGGAAAGAGGCTAGAGGCAAGACCTACCCAGCTGATTCAGGAGCAGAACATCTTGCCAGAGACACACAAAGGGTTCAACTCTAACACCTGCAGCAGAAAAAAGTGGAGCACAACAGCCAGATCCAAACAACACCCACCTGGAGGAATCTGAACTTCATAGATCCGGACCTGGTGCTAAGGTAATAACTCTAAGCTCTACACCAAAGGTCAGAAGACAG